TGTATGAGTTGGCCTGCGTGGAAAGCACAGTGCCTGGCCTATCCCATGACCAAGTCAGAAAGACCAGAGGCAGGAGAAGATGCATGTGGCTGGTGCAGGCGGAACCGGCCAAACATGGGTATGGGGGTGGTGGTCCGTATAGGGAAAGGCTTCGGCCGCACCAGCCAGCTGCGTCGGATCCTGCTCTAAGTATTCTTGACTCTGTATTGACACTGGACACCGATATGTGAGAGAAGAGAGAGTGTGGTAGATGCATTGCAAGTCTACTATCACTTAAACCTAACTCACGTGCGACTCACCATTCATCTTCGTCGCGTTCCCACCCGCCCTCACGGCGACCAAGGTCTGCTACACCAATCTCCCTACGGTGGATCTATTTTCCCTCCTCTCCATTTCTGTTTTTTTATGACGGAGCAGCCCGTCGCGACCAAGCTGCTCCGACTCCTCCTCCTCCTCGCCGCCGGGATTGAGGCCAAGCCGGCGGGATTCCTGATCCAAAAAGGGCTACTAACCAGCCAGGGCAGACGGTGGACATCGACACCGATGGTCGAACTGCTGGACTATCTGGTTCATACCTGTTCGAACATGGCCGACACGTTACCGATTAGGTTTAACCACTGCGCGTGTCAAGCTCGTGGGGATCTGCAGTATTCGCAGACCGTCATATAGTAACAAGCAGTAATTAGGAATAATAATAAACGGCTAAGACAATGAAGATTGGGCTGGCTAATACTTGGTTTTGATTAGGTCGACTGATTATGGCTAATATACCAGCAGTTTATATCTTGGCTTTTCTAATCTTTATTGAAATCGGTTTATGCCCGTTTGATTCCCCGTCTTCTGGTTTCATTAATCCCGCCAACAGAGTATATCTTCATTTCCACGTATTTTGACTTAAGTTTGGTTCCTCACTTGTTAAACTGATATTTCCTCTGCTTCCAACAAATGACAAGGTCAGTCGGTTGACGATATAAAGCAAGTCTGGTTAGTAGTTTGTGTTCTATTTTTTATTAAGGCATATAGAGGACAGATATAACGGCTGAGATACGAGAAAAACGTCCATGTTACGGCTCTTACTTTGAGCTCATCGGTTTGTGATGCCTCGTGGGCTGTGAAGGATTCTGTCTCAAGGTTGTCCTGCTATTTTGCCAATGGTACTGCAGTTTCTCAATTCAACCCTTCATTTCAGATCTCCAACCTGGAAGAAATCCGCTCACAGCGCTATCTCAACTGCAACGGGATCAAGACGGACGATCTGTTCGGCTTCCTCACCTCCATTGGACTGCCCATGTACGCCGAGTGTCTTTCAACGGCCTTAAATGGCCAGCCACCCACACCGGGCAATTTGATGGCTCTGAGTGATGCTCACCTGGTCTACAGCCTGGGTATTCCGGTGAGCCACGTCAGTCGCATTCGCCAGGAGGCTGCCCTCATCCCCAAGGGCCTCCTCAACGCCAATCCATCCGGGCCCTCCAGCTCCCTCCTGCTTCATCAGAAGACCTCAGCGAAGAGTCGGATTTCACGGGCGGGTGGATGTGCGTCGTCCCTGGCTGCCGGTGGTGTACCCGGTGGAGTCGCCAATGAAAAACATCGAGGGACGGAGGGAACAGGAGGAGGCGGCCCGCATCATCATAAGAAACACTCCGCGACACGACATGATTTCAACAACAGCGGTGGCGGCCTATGCGAGCGTTCCTTGCTGCACCCAGCCGTCGAAAATATATGTGACAAAGTCTAGGGCTAGATGCATATGTAACCAACGCAATACCGTGTTTAATACAAACAGGAGGGGGAGATATCTTTGCGATGAGAAAGGCCAGAAGGAAGGTTTTTCATGTTCAAATAAACTCTACTAAAGAATTTTGACTCCTGCAAGTCATCTCTACAGGCCCCCAAACTGCCAGTCTTGTTCCTACTCCAAGCCAATCAACGTGCAAAATTTATAGCTCAAACCAATTGGTAAAATAAGGTAGATGTCAGATCGCTATGTGCCCGCAAACCGCCTGCAAGGCAATCCAATCCAAGTGCAAAAAAGAGAGTGTAAGCCAGTTTGTTCAATGAAATTAATGTCAGATGACGGATAAATGCACCAGGTCTGGGACTCTGCTCTCTCAGAGATCGATGTATTGTATGTTCCTGGTGGGGGTTAAAAACTCTCTCTAATATCAGGATTAATGTCATTCCTTAATGCCACAGGTCCTGTTAAATATTTAAAGCGTTTATGGCAAATTCTATCAAAATGCACAAATTTCCGTCAGTGACTACGCTCCCGTGGTGGGTTCCTCTGTTTCTCTATGTTCGGGCTAAAAATAAAACACATTTTCTCCCAGCAGACCCATCTGTAGGGCGTCGAATGGCGGGAAAGCTTCTGGACAAGCAAGGCTCTATAAGACATCTTTGTATGTAGGACCTATATTCTAGGAATAATTCGATTTTAAATGGCCAACACTATCCAGAGTTAGCATACATGGTTCCCTTGAAGTTTTCGAGGCATGAGTTAACTCTGCAGCGGAACAGCATTTCGGAAAACCCGATGGCGAGCGTACGAGTGCTCTCAATACATTCTCGGTGGGGCAGTGCGTTCGTGGTGGGACGGGGTACAAGTCAAACCATGAGGTCAATAATGTCCATCTTGAGAAGAAGTACATGCGATCGCTGGGACAATAACTTTATTCGCCTGACGTTCTTGATTCGTTCGCGAACCCATACTCAGAGGCAGTAGTAGAAACGGGACTCGCACTTTCGCTTGTATCATAAATTTTTTGAGAGCGATGGGTGTTGCGAGTCTGTTGAGTAGGAAGTAGTGAAGCTCCTTCTTTTAATTTTCTGCTCCCGGTGAGCATCATTTCTAACTGCTACTAACGTGAAGGCAGATGTTTTTGCAAACACTTTTGATACTACCAGTCCTGTTGATCTTTCGTTATTTGACTTTCGTGAGAGACCATTGTCGTGCTCTGGGCACATTTGAACAATGACTATAAGTTCAGGGCGTGGACCGAGAAGATAATAATGTACCGATGTGACTCGACGTGTTTTCGTTGCTGCTGCTGCCCCCATTGTTGTTCTACCTGGCATAATTTAACGAGAAATGGGACTATGGCAGGGAGTTAGCTTGATCGGTAAAACCCTAGCCAGTTTGATCTTCAGGCCCGGTTCCTTGCAAAAAGAAGAAGTGGGAGGCCAGAGCGGTAGGAATAGTTGATTCTGTACAGAAGTGGGGGAGAATAGGTAGAAGGAAGTTGACTGTCGGACAAATGCAGTCCGGCCGTTAGGGCGCCGGGTCCGAAGTGGTGATAGCATAGATAGTTATCCCAGTGGGGCCCTTTGTGAGTTGGCCTTCAAAAGGATTGGCCTGACTGGGGTAGGCATACGTGCGTTGGCGTGTCCGCACATGCTGGCTGGCCGCGTGAGGCAGGCGTTCACACGGCTGGCCCCAAAACTAGACTGAGACTGTTATCACGTGACCTCATGCATGACGAGTCGCCGGAGGTGGAGTCACTACAGGGCCTTCTTAACTGTCTGTAGTATCTTTTTTAAGAGTAGACAGAGTATCCAGGCGACATCGTTCCAGGATTTTCGCCGTGCCGGTTTCCAGGGCCCTTCTATTGTTACTCAGATGGCCACCATCAGCCCACACTTTAGCTGACAAGTCAACCAACTAGGTGTATTCTGTTGCGATTGGAATACTTTGGTAGAACTGTAACCTGTGGCTGCTTATTTTTTTCTTAGCGGTAACTCTGTGCGCACGATTGCTTGGCCGCGAAACCATTCGCCTGTGGAATGACTCGACATCCGCCGCCAGTCAGTGTAAACAAAACCCAAGAAACACTTTAAACATCTTGTTGAGTTTTGTTTGAAAGTGAGATGCTGTTTATGACGTTTCGATGTCTGTTTTCTGTTTTCACAGCAGACTAACTGCACTTGCCTTTTATGCATGCATGATCCGAGTTCATACGAATGCCGGCGTACCAGTGACCGTTCTTTTTATGGCTCAGTGTTCTCGTAATTCTGAACTGACCCGTCCCGTATGCGGTTACGGTCTGAAAATCGGGTTGGTTATGGACTGGGTAACACAGTTTAGGGTTAAGGTTGGGGTTTTTGTTAGCTGTAGCATTGGGGTTAAGGAGAGGGTTAGGATTAAGATAAGGATTACGGTTCGGGTTAATGCTTAGGCTAGTGTCTGGGTTAGGACACGCGAATATTTACCCTTGTTGGAATTAGGCGCAGGACCACTTTTATTAAGTGGACTGGGTTTTTCTATTCTCCTGTCCTTTTTATGGGCGCATATATAGTTTGGGCTGAAATTCGTGCAAAACCACCAGCTTTGCATGAAAACCTTGTAGTGCGCAAACTGTTTACCCCACGCATCTGTAAGTTATACTGCGTTGAAGAAACGACTGATCATAAAATGAAGGCATATTTTGCTTTTTAAAGTATCACTCGTTGGTTGAGAACTAATTTGTTCCATTGAAAACCGCCAAACGAAAAAAAACGATTTAACGATAGGTCAATTATTTAGGGCCTTAGATAACTGACAGCAGAATGGAGAGGACAAAATAGCACATGCATCTAAGATATAACGGTTAAAGTTCTGCAAAATTATAAAGCAAAAACGTTGGAAATTTGCAAAATATATTTTTTAAGTCCAATCCTTTCCTGATTTTCGAAAATAATACAATTCCTTACATTTGCCGGTGGAAGTTTAATTTACCTCTCAGAACAGCTTATGTTTCTCATGACGGTCTACTTAATTCGTAACAGTAGGTACGGTTCGTTTTACACTGAAATCTTATTACTCTACCCCCACCAGCAAGTATGGTTGCTTACTACGGCACATTCCACTCCGATATAAGAATGACACCCCACACGAACCTACTTAGGCCACTTCAGCTGAAATGTTGGTTTGTTCAGATGCAACCAACATTTAAGCTGTACTGCATACCGTATATCAGGAACACCCGTCCGTAAAATTTACACTTGAAGAAGAACAGTTCGGAACGCTCCCATTTCTCGATGCACTTTTGAGCAAGAGATCTGACGGAGTATTCAATGGTGGGTCTATCGTAAGAAGACGTGGTTCGGGCAATATAACCATTTTGCTAGTTTTGTGCCGTTAAACTTCAAACGTAATTTAGTAAGATGTTTGACATAAGGGGCTAGAAGGATTTACTCGACCGATAGCATCGAAGAAGAGCTTAAGATAGCAGAAGGCATTTTTCGACCAAATGGGTATCCTAGTCTATTTATTGCCAAAAAATGGCTGAAAGACCGCCAAGGCCATTGGTGCTAACACCAGAAAAGAAACGGATCCTCTCCAATTTCAAGAGGACGCGCCAAGCGAAATCCTTAGAAGGCGTCTGTGCCAAGTTGTATCGAAAATCTTTCCAGCAGTCAATGCCTATATACTGTGCTCAACTACGCCCATCCTATACGGAG